ATGTCTATATTATTTTTTAAATTCTCATAACAACATTGTTGTTGGGTACTATTATTTTCTTCATTATACAGGTGAGAAAACCTGCACTCCAGATCACAAGTCTAACAGGAACTGAAGCAATTGGTGTGAACCCAGATCTGGCTGATTCTCCACCGCTATGCCGCAGTGCAGACATTCACACAGCACATAACATGTGCTTTGCATGTATCGATGCAGTCCTCACATCCGTCCCACTGTGTGGGTGCTATTAATGTCCCCATTTACACACCCTAGCTTGTGAGTGGCGGAACTGGAATAATTCATACAGACTAAAAATTTTCAGTTGAAAGACTATGGAGTGTTAATTCAGAGACAAAATCATTTCTCATGTTGTGGATAGATGTTTTAATAGGATGTGGGCAGGTTATTTTCCTCCACTCCTTAGGATTTAATTAAATTTTTGGTTAACTGAAAAAGAAAAAATATCTGTGTGCTCTTCTCTCTGCCTCAATTCATACAAATGGTGAATCTGGAATTCATGTATACTTGGCACCTTTTTGCCTAGGAATGTATTTATTGTGATAATAGTACCTAATGTTTTTATAGCATTTTGACATTTTCATAGTGCTTGATATTACCGACCTCATTTGATTCTTATAATAATCTTGTGAAAACATTATTCAGATGAGGAAACAAAAACAGAGAGAGGTTAGATGGTGATTTTAAGGTCTCCTTGCCTGGGCGTGGAAACAGGATCTGGAGCTCAGGCCTTTGACCTTTCAGCTGTCTGCTTTTCTTGTGTGCTGTCTGTAATTTGGGTCTCACTGTTGTGTGCATGGTCAGGGAAAAGGATGAACTTACAGGGGAGAACCAAAGGAATTTACAAAATTACAAAAAAGAAAGCACAAGTGATCTGTCACTTGTCATTTAATTGTACTTTAGAGAGAAAGGAAAGATTGAGGGTACTGCCTGAATCTGCAGCATGATGGTGGTTAAAGTCAAACTGCACAAAAGCAAATTATGTGACCAGGACGTGTGTTCCCCTGCAATATTCTGAAATT